GATATAAAGTATTCCATATCATGAAACTTCAGGCGTCCCTTTATATTAACTGACTCCCACCTCTACGTGTGTTAGTGCTGATGTTTTTACTTCATCCCTGCAAAGTGCATTCAGACCTAAGGAGTTGTCAGTTTGGATCTGCACACTTCCCCATCACCATCAACAGCCCAGCTTTCTGTGCTTTTAGATCCGAGGAGCTGAAAGCGGTTTAGCTCTTCAGGAGTCATTTTACTTAATGTGGAGAACTTTGATAATAATTTTTATGATTTAAGCATACTGCTGGACTAATTTAATTGCGCTTCGGGAGAGAAAACGAAAATCCAGTGTTTATTCTTGCCTTCTTACCTCATTGAAAAGTGGTGTCTTCTTGAATTTAGTTTAAAATCAATTAAGGGGGGGATCAACTGACTAATATAGGTCAAATTGACAAATATTAAATTCCACTCATTAAATAAATAAAAAATGGTTACAGATAAGCTTAATTTAATGCCCAGACCTGTACATTATTAAGAAACAAAGAGTATTTAGGGCATCCGAATCCTGGCTGTTAATTTTCTGCATTTTTTTTAGATTTTAACAGTTGTTCCATCTTATAGTGAACAAAGAAACAGGAAATATTTACTGAATATGTCCAGGTAACAGCTTGAAAATCGACTGAAACATTTATAAAGTTAAAATGTAAAAAATTTCGAATTTTGAAATGAAGAAAATGTTAATGAAGCTACATGGTTTTCGCAGAATGTTTGAAAGATTATTTCATCAACGCTATAAATTTCCATTGCAAACAACATGCCGCCCAAAGGTTCTTCCTCTTATGCATTAAGATTCACTTTAGTTTATTTTTCCCATTTGATTACAGATACTATTCAATTGGTTAAAAGTTTTCTACTTTAGGAAACCCAGCTGATTGCATCCTGCCATTTACTTTGCAGGTCAAGCATTTAGCAACAAGAGACATTCCATTGCATTGTGTTGATGACTCTACAGCAATTCCTCATACCAGGCATGCATTTAACAACAGTGGAGAGGAACAACTCTCTTTTAACGGGAAGAAAACTCCAGTAGAACCAGGCTCAATTTGAGTGGCCTTCTGCCAAGTTTAACTTACAGTATAAACTAAATCGAATCTATTACTGTTTTGTTTAAACAACAATAAGCAATAATTTACCTTTTCTTCTCTCAGAGGGGACTGATCATAACACATAAAACGGTGCAGAAGTTTTCACATATTTTGCAATTTATTCAATTTCCAAAGGCTCAAAAATATAAATTCGGGCTCAAAGGTGTAAACAAACTGACAACACATTTTGAATAGATACCCCTCAACAAGCTGTACTTCGGATGCACATTTATTGTGGTTATCAGCAAAGTTTAAGAAGAGTCCTGACTGCAATTTTAGCCTCTATTCTAATCTGAATAGGTATATATTTACCTTAAGTCGATCAGCATTTTTGAACTTGGTCCATGTTCTTAAGCAGGTTCAGTAAGTGATCATGCCTTCAGGATAATCGTGCGAAGATATTTTAGATTCTAAAAGCTTATGTTTCTTACTGTTAATAGGTAGTTTTCCTCTCCGCATTCGCTGCATGCATGCTGGGTTTAAGGAATTGCTGTAGAGTCGATTGCAATGACACCAGCTAATTGAATATCGACTGTTTCTACATGTTCATCCAGGAGGAGGGAATCCTTCAAAACCAATAACTGGATCAAAACAGCCGGTTTTCCTTGGATAGAAACTTTGAACCAATCTGAGGGGATGATCTGTTTGAATTGTTGTTGCCAAGGACCTTGAGTTGACATGTGTAGGAGCTATAAATGAAAACTAAAATAAACCTTTATCCCTACTTGATGATAAAACCTCTGAAGAGGTTTAACCCTCTGAAATGGCATTTCCGAACCCAACTGTTAAGAAATCGACTGAATATGCTTCCAGTTTGGATGTGTTGGAGGAAACAAGTCCACTTAAAACAACCCTGGGATTTCATTACAACCTGGCAGTAGGTATTTAAGCAAAGAAAAGTGAAGGCTTCTTTGTTGATTTATTATTTAGTAAAAAACTGCAACAACATGAAATGTCCTCAACCCGGTTTTGCTCTTCTTTTAAAAAAAATAAAGTCCCAAACAAGTAAAAAACAATTAGATTGTCTGAAAGTAAAGCACTACGCTGATGATATTTTAACAAATTCCTGTTTCTGTTTGGAATAAGGTGGGCTCTTTCTATGCTGTAAACAATACATTTTAGGCCTTAATGTTGGCTTATTTTCATAATGCCTATGTTTTCCAACACAGAATATTTCTACCCTTACACAAACATGCTATGGTGACCAGCATTCTAAAAAAAATATGGCTCAAATGAATCCTTAAAGAGGAGTTCTTCCTCTTCACTATTGCTGCATAAAAGCTATGTGTGAGAGATTGCTGTGTTCTTAAAATGAATAATTATAAACAATTCAAAGTGAGAGGTTTGAATTTAGTAAATCTTAAATTTCCCTATAGTTCACTTTTATCTGCAGTCCTTCATAAACATTGGAAAAGTGTGCATCAGAAATGTAAAACACCACTGGCTCCTCAGTTCTAAAAAATTATATTCTGCTAAGTGGTTCTCTCTCTTCCTTGTGACTGCTCTTCCTTTTTTATCCTATATGAAGGTAATCAACATGAAAGGATAGTGAAAGCTTTTGAGATTTGCTTTACAATTGAATGGGAACACAGAAAATGAATGTACTTTGAAAGGTAAAATTGGATTGCAAAACTTTGTGAGTTTAGTAGATTTGACAGGCTGACTCAGACGAGACAAAAGGTCCAAGTCTATCAGACATGTAAACATTCCCAATACATCTAGTCAGTCTTCATTCCCATTTAATCCTTAGACAAATAAATGAACTTCCGGGTTTTTTATTTAAATTAAATGCAGAATTAATGCTGCTGATTAGCAAACAATTTGGAATTTCACTTAATATTTGTTTTGAAGCGGAGCAATTCACCATAGAAACTTTAAATATAAGAAGAAAAAAAGAAAATAACGAACCTATTTGACTTATTGGAATAAGAAAGATAAGATGGTCCTTTATAAGACAGTTTTTTGTCAGCTAGTGTTTTGGTTTTGACACTTCAAAAGACATTTTGCAATCCACATTATCAAGTGTTTAAAAGTGTAGCTGTATTAATACTTTTGATTTTCAAAATTTTCTTTATAAACTGATAAGGCTTTATAACTTTACTCCTAATCATTTAGCAACTTTAGCCAGTTTATACCTTGAGTTTTACATATAGCTTATGACTTGTTTGGCCTTAACTGGCTAGCTAAAATAGGTAGCGCTATTTTAGCTAGCGTTAGCAAGGTTCTGAATTCACATATTGACCAAAGAATTCATAATAAGCCAGTTTAGAAAGGCATTTTTCCATAAAGACAAACATATTCAGGAGGAACTTCATACAAATAAATGAACTGATTATCTTTTTTCAACTCCAGAATAGTTTGCGTTTAATAGCCTATTCTTTAGTTATGCTTCTATGGTTATGGGTCAGTTTATCTTCTGGTTATTTGATTTTCTTTCAATAAAACAGAAAGTACCAATGACAAGTGGTCATGTTAATTTTTTTTTTGTTTTAAAATATAAAACCTAAAATGAAAATACTTCTTTGTAAAAGAGGGATGACAAAAAAATAAAAAACGTTTTTGTTTTCTGATTATTTAACAAAATTTGAAATTACTTCAAAACAGAACCGAATAAAGATCAGTTTGTTGTTTTTCTGGATCAGATGTTGTCAGTTTATAAGAGCCCCACATTTACCAGGGCCCATTGTTGCTTTAGATTTATCAACAGAAAATTACCGAGCTGATGTTAAAATTTATGCCAATGGTGGTGAGATACATTGTAGCCACAGCTGCACTGGGGCGCACTGATAGAAAGCAGGCTGCTACCCGTCCTAATCAAAAGTAGGCAAGGCAGGGACATGTCTTGCCCAAAAACACCACATACGACAGAGTTAGGGCAAGGAGTTTGACCCAGTAATCCACAGAGCACTTTTTTCTGATGTTCATGCAAAAATCATCTTCTTCCTGGACTTACTTGTGATATTTGTAGCGCTCTTGTGAAATAAGAGACCCCATCCGATCTTACAAAAATAAAAAAAGATTTTTTTTCCTGTTTAAAATTTTTTTTTTTGTTAATCAAAATAGAAAACGAAACTTAAATAGTTTCCAAAAAATTAGCACATCCTTTTTTGAAGCAAAGAAAAGAGAAACACTGTATTTCAAGTCTAATTGTTGTACATTGAAAATAAAATCCACACGTTTTGTTGTTTTCAAATATAAAAACCAAGCAACTAAAAGATACACTGACCATTTTGTTAGATTAATGCTTCTCCAGTCAGGATAAAAGCAGCAATATGGATCTAATTTTGGATTTTTGTTTTCCATGTTCCTGAATAGTTGTCTGCAAAATCCATCCAACCCAAAAGGAACACAAGTACACAAGAAGGCGAGAACATTAGTAATGCTAGGTGCAGCGATTGGAAATGAAAGGAAAGAAAAAGATGGTAACACACTGATACAACATAAATGTAGGAATTGATGAAAGAACAAAATCACTTTGAGTGAATTGTGGCTTTTAATTGGTGTCTGAAAATGTAGCCAGTTTGCTTGATTAAATCCATAATCCAACTTTATGGTGAGAAACTCACTAAGGTTCCTCATTCAATCCAAGGGGGGAAATAGCAGACTTGGCAGTGAGCGCAGTGTGTCGCAGTGAGCTTGTCACAGATATTTTTGATTTAGGCCCAATATTGAAGCGTGGTCTGGCCTATTTTTATTACATGCCACAACCCAAGAGGGTCAATCATGAACTAGCTGTGGGTCTAGATAATGCCAAGGCGGTGAGGAATTGGGGGCAAGTTTTTGCGACAAATGGATGGCGAAAAAGAGTGGGGATCAAGGTGGGAAAAAGGTACCAGTGTTCTCGCGCGCTCTTCTAGCTGGTCCTACTTCATGAGTCTTTTTCCGCAATGACGGTCATTCAGACAAAACAAGCCGGTAAGGTACCAAACAGGAAATACGCATAGTGTAGAGCGGACGTTGATTAGACCAATAAGAGGCCCACTGTCTGCGGTCACCTACGATTTTGGAGAGGTGATGCAGAGTGTTTACAGAAGTGGCAGGGACACATTTGCATTCACTGCGACACACATGCAGAGGACCTGGTTTCTGAGTATAAATCAGCCTTAAAGGTATACTGCCGTCTGGGAGCAAGTCCATCAGCTGTATGTCACATGACCACCACTCACAATAAACAGCTATTCACACCTAAGGGCAGATTTACGATGCAAACTCAACTGACATGCACCTTTCTGGACTGTGGCAGGAAAGAAGTGTGCATCATGCCGATTTATGCATGCATGGTGAGGAACTCCTGATTAAAAGGCACGTGCCACGATCTGAACCAAGGAGTTCAATGGTGCTGAATACTGTAGCGTGCAACCAAGGTCCTATTTAGTTTTTTCCAAATTTACGAAACAAAAATGCCCAATAAATGTTGTACCATATCCTAACTGCATTTCTGTATTGTTCATATGATAATAAATATTCATCAACACGTTCTGAACATAATGTTACAAAATCAATCGCTTGGATGGGAAGACCCTAGAGCTAGAAACTGGCATAGTGCTGTGGTTGACTTTCCTTTTAGGTCACTGTTGAGTTGAAAAGGCTGCAAGTGAATTTAAAGCTATCCAGACCCAATCCGATGCGTTTTAGATCAGCAGGAAGTATCAATAACAGCAGTATGATCCTTTGATTTATACACAAAAGACACTTTACCAACCATAAAAAACAAAAATCAACAAAAAAAAAGAAAAACATGGCCTACAAGTAAATGACATCTAAGTCACATGCTAATATTGGCAACAATATTTTGGCTTAATATGAGTTGAAACCATTAAAGTAAATGATTGCTTATTGAAAATAATACCTGATGCTTTAGAACATTTTTGAAATCTCTGTCTGCAGCGAGGCAATGGGATAATACGTCATAACAAATATCTCTTCAAGTTAGAGTGAAACAAGCAAACTCCCTTTGAAAAATAGCATTTCCCCAGTGTGCATCGTTTTATACGTAACCAAAGTTCATGTATTCATTTTATAATGTAAATCTGTAATAAGTCAAGTTTTATTGTTCACGTAGAGTCTCTTTAAATCAATTCTTGAAAAAATAGACATCCATGCTTCATGCTTTGCATCCTCTTGGGTCCAACTCTTGCTGTTCTGCCCAATCGTCTTTATCTGTTCCCAGCAAAACTTTTATTTCATACAACCAAACCAGGAAGGGAAAAAAGTGCTAAAATGAAAATCTGGTGAAGAGCAGCATTGAAAATGTTTGACCTAGTGTGTATAAAACATAAAAACTCACTGGTCCTGTGAGTGCGGAGCTTTAGATAGATTTCCTTCTCCTCATGAGCTGGTGATTGTCTGTGAGGCTGTGAAGGCCAGGAGAAACTGAACTGATGGGCGAAGGGAGGAGGCTGTTCTTCAACGTGCTGGGCGAGATCTCCTCAATCCTGTAGGAAACCGAGTGAAAGTACTGATTGCGGTTTAGCTGCGAGCTGAACGAGTTCTGATGGGAAAAGGCACAGCCCAGGCCTCCGATCCCGCCGCCGGAGCTGCCGTAGTCGTGCGAGCGGTAGTGCATGCACGGGCACACCGACTGCAGGTCGGTCACCTCCGTCCTGTATGGCTCTCGTCGTCGCCGACTCCGCTGCAGCGATTCGTCCTGGATGTGAATAATCATGCTGTTGCGATTCCCAGCGAGGGACGCACGTTCCTCTGCGTCCCGCCGCTCGTCCTCGCTGTTCATAGTCAGAAAACGGAGCACGACCAGGTTCAGGAAGGCTCCGATGACTGTCAGGCCCACAAGGATATACATGAAACTAAAGGCCACGTACAGGGGCTTCTTCTGTAGGGCCCGGTTCTTTTGAAGGGCCACAAAGTCCCCAAAGCCTATTGTTGTTAATGTAATGAAGCAGTAATAGTAGGACTGAAAGAAGCTCCAGTCCTCATAATGAGAGAAAGCAGCGGCTCCAATACAGAGCGTGCCGATGCAGGAGAAAAATCCTACGGTCACCATGTTCTCCATGGACACGTCTGTGATGCGCATCCCACAGCATTTCTTGATGCGTTTGAGGAGGTACTTGACGAATGTGTTCATCCTCTCGCCAAGGCTCTGGAACATGACGAGAGTCAAAGGGATTCCAAGGACAGCGTAAAACATGCAGAAGGCCTTTCCCGCGTCAGTCCCAGGAGCTGCATGCCCGTAGCCTGAGATGAAACAAGAAAGACAAGAAAAAAATGAGCAAGGCGGACAAATTTTGATTCAATTCATTTAAAACCTGGAAAAAGTAATAAAAATTAAACATTATTGATCTCACATTGGAGAAATTCTACCTCTGCATTTAACCCATCCCCTTGGGGAGCAGTGGGCTGCCATTGTGCGGCTCCCCGGGAGCAGTGTGGGGTTAGGGTCATGCTCAGAGAGTCAGAGTTTCTGTGGGAGTGGGGCTCGAACTCAAAACCTCAGGATTCCAAGCTCTATGCCCCAACCACTAGTCCACCACTCCCCAGGTATTGATACAGCTGGAGACCTTTCTACGTTTTTGTCACAAAGCAACTGGACTTTAACTGGACCGTTCTCCATTAACTCCCTTTGATCTAAACATTTTTATTGAAGCTCTGGACTTAAGTTTTTATCTTTTATCCTGCTCATTTATCCTCCTTTTAGCTACAGTACCAGTTAATCTAAAATAAATCCAACCTGGAGAGACTCGTAAGGAGATAAGAAAGCAGTTAAAGAGTATGTTGAAATGAATGAATATAAATATTTGGTGCTCAGACCCCAACCAGGCACAAAACCGCGCTGATGATGATAATCTGATGTTGATGATGATAGGATGGAATGAAGTTTTGTTGGAAGGTAGGTGTGACCATGGATGAGACGGATTCAAATGAAGAGTCATAAAAGCCCTTTTGTCTGGTATTTTGTGCTACCAACATAAGTGTGCAGTGGGACTGGTGCACAATGTTCAATCTTACATCCGCTCCCTTAGAATGTGTCTTTAATAAACTCTGCTACACCAGTTGTGGATTCATTTAATTCATTCTCTGCCCTCAATCCACTACGTTTCTGCACTCCCTCTGCTTCACCTCTGCGCTAATGACTTGTTTAACTATATGTTAATGGTCCACACCTGCCGGCCAGTCAAAGACAGGTCTTTTTCATCTAATGAAAACACAGGTGGGAGTTGTGGAATCATCCCTGAACTAGGTGTGTCCAATCTGCACGGTGAATTAGATTGTGCAAAATGGACTGAGATTGAACTAACCAGAGGTAAATTCTTTTTTCTGGTTTAGGCTCCGTCCACACGAAGTCAAACCCTGGCCTAAATTCACAAATTTTTCACCAAACCAGCCTCTCATCCATATGAAGCCGGCGTTTCGGGGGTCTGTAAACGATCTTTTTTTTATTAAGCCTTCAGAGTGGGAAGATTTTGAAACACAGTTTTACGCGGTTCCATCTTTAAGCTCTAACCGCATTTTTTTCTTACACGCATGCGTCATAGCGTCGCCTCTAAACACTCAGGCGCGACACGGTATCACAACAACAATGGCGCCGTACTGTATTGAATGGTTGCTGCTAATGCTACTCACCCTGCTGTCGGGCTTACAACAGAATCTTCTTCTTCTGGAATATTCCAGGAAGAACAGAGCAATATCGACGACATAGTTCAGCACCTGAATTTGACTGAACCACGAAAATGGACCCGCAGGGCAACCATGTATAAATATTAGTGCGCATGCCCAACATTTCGTTGCCTGTTTTCGCCTATTTTTGCTTTGGCACCACAGCACCACTTACAGGCCTGGCATACATTTTGCAGCGTTTTCATGCATTCATGTGGACGATCACATTTATTTTACGTCTCCGTCTTTAAGACAAACGTTCTGGAAAATATTAGCATTTCGTGTTCGTTTTGACTTCGTGTGGACGGGGCCTTAATTTCTTTAAAATTCAATTTAAACATTTTTTTTAATAATTTCCATCCATAAAACATGTTTTTTGCTTGCAAAAAAATGGAACAAAGTTCACTCTTTTTGCAGCTCTGTTAAAGCCTGAAAATGTCTGGGTAATGTGCAGTAGCAGCCATTCCATCTTCAAACTTGGAAACAAAGTCCAGTGCATTGTTTTTAATTTTCTTTTTTTGGAATAACTATGACCTGGATGACTGAGAATCCTCCCCAGCGTACAGTAGCAGCCATTCAAAATGGACCTTCCAAGTTAAACGACAGCTGAATAGCAGCCCACTTCCCTCCAACTCCTGGTGAAAACTTCCAACCACTGGAGTTACCCCCTATTGCATATTTTTTTACTCTGACTCCACCCTTTCACTGAATTACAGGGTCTGACCAGGAGATGACGCTTTCTTTAGATCTTAATGTCGACAAATCATGACAGTAAGAATATTTTAGTACAAATATTGATGTTTTAAAAGGAATTGAAGGGGGACCAGCCAAGGACCCATTAAAGAAAATGGGGAAGTTTTAAGAGGCTACTACTGTATGACTCCAATATATTGCATAATCTGCCATATTTATCCAATGCACAGATTTTTTTTTCATCTACGCTGAGGAATTTTGCATTATTCAGATTTCTGGGATTGATGATTAAACAGTTTATCAAAACATGTTTTTAACACCGGGGTTTTTTACAACCTAACTTTGCTTTTCCACTTTCCAAAAACAAAAACACACAGATTTCAGGTCAAATAGCAAACAGGCAAACCTCAGAAAACATGTGGCTTTGCAGTCCAGTTAGTTGCACCTGAATTTTAAATAAAGGAGGATGTTGGGATCTGGAGGCTTGTCTACCTTTCTCCACCAGAGGGAGCCTGAGATCTTCCTCCTGAGGGCGTGAGCTGATTTCTGCACACCTGTTTCCCATCTGCTCATCTGGAGGCTTTTTAAGGAGGAGGAGGCTGACACTTCTCTGCCAGAGTGTATTCTTCTGCCTCTCAGATCCTGACATATCTGGTGATCAGTCAACTCCTGGAGAAAACTCTCACTGCCTGGAACCTGCCTGTCTGCCCTCAGCCTCCGTCTCCGTCTCCGCCTCTACCCTCAGACTGCCGATCAGCCTCTGGACCCTCAAGGTTCCCTCCCTAACGGTCAGAATACCCCCTGAGCAGGTACTAACCCAGACCGCCGTTAAACAGCAAGTTTCCTGGATCCACTCTAACTGATCTGTCCTACTCTAGTTGCTTCCCTCCCGTGACCAGCCTGACGAACCAAGACGCCGTTCACATTTCTCTGAAAACTTTGTCAATAAACCTTTTAACTATTTTTTCTGTCTCTTGAGTGTTTCTGCATGTGGGTTAGAAGATTAGACCCCAACATGACAGAGGATAAAACATATTTGTCTTAAGCTTTTAGTTATGTATTGGTGAATCACGTCAAATTCAATTAAAACATAACAAGACTGTGTTTATACTGTGAGATAATGCAGACATTAAAGTGATGAGAATTTTGTTTTGCTAAGCACTGTACTGTATGTGCTTTTAAAGCTGCAGCCAGCACTACTTTACTTCAACCCCAACATCTAAAAAAGCCCCGATTCAGCTTTTGTTTACAAACAGGAGCTCACAAGAAATCTCACTAAGAGTCTGCGAGCTCTGCCAGAAGAGGTAGTGAATAGGTGGCAGCCACAAAAAATGTGTCTGCTCATTAATCTTATTTGGGCTCCAGCATTTAAGTGAAGTTGCGTCCCATTAGTCAGAAGTTTCCGGTGAGGTAGAAGAGTTTGGGGCAGGGATTGGGAAAGAATCATAGAGGGAAGCCAGTAAAGCTTTTAGCTTAATTAGACTTTATATTTAGACCAAAAGCTGCTGACTCAGACACATACTTTGGAAAATCCAACCTGGCGGCGGTAACAATGGAATTTATTCCCTATGTTTGATCTAATTTTCAAATTTAAGTGATTTTATGTGCATCTCATCTCATTTGCAAAGTCACTTCAGAGATTACAGTATAAATAAGAGCTAAAGTTCTTAGTGTCATATTGATCATCTCTCTTAACAGAATCCATTGCTGCCAATATGAAAATTTAAGTCCAAGCCAAGAAACACCAACTATCATTTGGCAGATCATCACTGGATGAAACAGAATTCACATTTCTGTGGTGGAGTAAAGCAATATGTAAAAACATATCTATTTAAATGGCCAGAACAAGCGCCTCTGTTTGTATTCTCAAATATTGATTTAGTCTTTTTCCCATTTGACCTTCTGCCCACTTATGTATCTGTTACACATGCCCTTAAGGGAAAGAGTCCTGGACTAGGCAATCTGGTTGCAGTGAGGAACAGCATCAGTTATCTCATGCGATTGAACTGCAAATTACTGTCTCTACAACTCAACTGGGGAATTTCAAAAGAAAAACAGGGTATCAGCAAGAGAAGGAAGGCAACTAGAAGATGTTTTTGAAGTATTGCTTTAACCAACAACATGCTGAATATTTAGTGATAATGAATTTTGACACCTTACTGCCCTCAAAATGTGAACATTATATAGTTTTTCAAGACCAGTAAATTATATTTTAAAAACAACTTTTAAAAATTGTTTTTTTATAAGATTACATTGAATATTTCATGTGTGCACGTACGTCTTGTGCATTTAAAAATAAACAGCATGTAGAGTATGGAATGTGTAAACTGTGAGAATTTAAAGAATATTAAAAGCAACACAAAAAAATGCATAAAACAGGAGTTTCAAGTTTCCAATAAATGAACCTCATGTTATCTGAAATAAATGAATAAATAGTCAGTGTATGGCACTGATGAGGTTTTAATGGAAGCCCAGGTTGCCTTGATAATGGCCATAAGGTCATCCAACATTTTCTCATTATCAGTTCGTATGAAATCGTACGAAAAGTTATGCACACTATTTTGTACGTTTTGGACGTTTTTCCTCAAAAAACCACATCAGTGCGAATGCGCTGGCAGACAAAAAAAGCAGATCCGCGGACGGACGTAAAACTGGGAAAAACAGTGCAATCATCACTTATTCATGTCTCTAACTACGTTGCTTGCTGTTTTATATCTTAGGGTCAGGGTTAGGGCTACAGTAATTGTTTTTTAAATTCTATGTTCTTGAATGGTGCGTAAGATGCGCATGCGCATACGATGAAAAAAACGTACAAAACGTACAAAATTACGGTGCATAACTTTTCGTACGATTTCATACGAACTCATAATGAGAATACACTGGGTCAT